TTAGTCCAAAGATATTTAGACTCAATAAAAATAGTAAAGAATACCATATATTCTACAAGGGTATAGGAGGACATGGTCCAAAGCTTCTTCGTCCTCCTTTTTTACTTTTTTTTGGGTTCCGGCGACTTCTCCCGTTTAATCTTCTCCTCAAATGAACGACATGGTTGTCGTTCGTCTCTAATAGCAATGAGAGTAGGGACGGCACAGTGTTTGTATCCGTAATCCTCAAACGGGAAGTAGTTTTTCGTCTACGAAACATCTCCCAATAAATAATCGACACGTGGACCAGATGACGACTTCGCTGACCTTATCACCGCGCCGTTGATTCGAAAATTTTCCCCTCTTGCGGCTTTGCTTCCAAATATTTCGAATCCTATCGACGAGGGAAACGAAATCTCGATTTGAACTGTGAAATCGTGAGAACTGAGAAGTGAAGAAAAAGAGAGAGGAGGAAAAAAAAATGCCGAAGAACGCCATGGATGACGTAGATCGATTGTTCCAGTGTTTCAAGTGTGGGATTTCTCCGCCTGGTGAGCTTCTTTTCCCAATCTTTCCCATCTTCTGTGATTGCTCAAAGTTGAATTGAAAGCCATGTAAATCCAATTGCCACTTGAATCTCATTTCTTCTACAACCAAACTGTTACTGAAAATTTGAGATGTTTGTAGCATAATCAACGAATGTAACAGTATACAAAGTTATTTATCTGTGGAAATATTCAGCTTCTGCTGTGAGAGAAAAGAAACGGAGCAAAAAGATGTTGAATCCTGAGAATAACTCTCCTGGTACCTGTAAGAACTGGCAGTCAAGTTCTTTGTCTGGAAAAGGACAAAGAAATCAGATTGACGGAGGTTTCAGTCTAGACTCCGTTGTATGTATATCATGAAACCAATTGTTTCACTTGGTTTTAAAATCGTTTTGTGGAGTGAGTTCTGATGTCTTCATATGTCATATATCTCAGTCTGGTTCCAGTAATGTGAAAAAGAATGTTGGGAGGCAGTTTTCACCGGTTGTATTTTACGGGTCTCCAAATGGCGTTCCTCCGAAAAGACCATTGAGTTTGTTGAGGCTTTTGCGTGAGATACGTATCGATCTCAGTGAAGAAAGGAAAGCAATCTCCAGGTATCTATGCATAAGCTACTCCTGGCTTTTAGTTCTACTTCGAAGATTCTTCATTTATCTTTGGAAGATTTAACTGTTGTATATAATGGTCTGTTTTCACTCTGCTTAGGAAAGAAGTTTGGGCTACATTTCCTCGGCAAGATGAAGCGATTAAGTTTGAAAAAAGGCATGAAAATGTGCGGATTTTTAGTTATCAAGACCATTTTAGTGGCCAAAGAAGGTTTTTGGTTTCAACATATGAAGAATTATGGAAGAGGTTCCTTTTCTTACCTTTAACATTCCTTGAGTTTTGTAAGCCAAGACAACTATTTGAGTTTTGTATACCTCTCAAGTTCTTTATTTATCTTATTAGATACAAATCTATGGATCCAAGGCATCGACACCATTATGAAGTTATTCAAGAGGTATTTAGTTCTCATTCCCTTATCCTCCTGTAAACTATTTTAGTGTGTTCTGCATAGCTCTCAAAAGATTATGTCTTCTGATTTTGCATCAAATACGCATGTCTGGCTTCTGATTCACTGCGTTTGATTGCAACGGCTTCTCAGGGATTGCCATGCCATATGTACTTCGATTTGGAGTTCAATTGGAAAGAAAATGAAGGAAAAAATGTGGATGAAATGGTTGATATCTTGATATCAGTCATTCTAGAAGCCTTGCATGAGAAATATGCTATTGAAGGACAAGAGAACTGGATAGTAGAGCTCGATTCCTCAACTAAAGGTAGACTAATATACATGCTCTCCCAACTGCTAGTTGATTTAATGAGGTGTCCTTTTTGCTTCAGCTTTATTCTCTGAGCTATCTCTTTGAAAATACAAAAATCCTTAGATATTCTGTACAAGAAGGTTGAAATTACCAGTTATTGTACAATGTTTTTCCTCCGATATTTCTGTATTACAAGGCTGGTTCTCTTGACTGAAGAATTCCTGAAAATTTCATATGCAGAGAAAGTTTTTTATACGAATATGAATGTCATATGCAGATAAGTTCTCTCGTCATTTAATTGTCATCATTCCAAATGTAGCCTTTAAGGACAACTCACACGTTGGTGCTTTTGTAGGAGAGGTATGCTTCGATCGATATTTTCATTTTTATTGCCTGAAAAGATGGTTTTCTAAGTTGCAAGTAGGGAGGTAATGTTGGGCATGGCTCATTTTCATCTTAATGTTTTTTCAGCTATGCTCACGTATAGTAAATGCGAAGGAAAAAGATGAAAGATTGAACAAGTTGTTTGTTCACAAAGAAGCTAAAGATTCGGCATCCCTACTTTTTGTGGATACTGCTGTTTACTCTAGAAATCGTTGCTTCCGCCTTGCACTATCATCAAAAGCTGGAAAGGCGTCGGTTCTTCTACCTTCAGGACGATTCAAGTGTAAGGATATGGTAAGTCCACCTTAATTCAAGTCTATCTGGTGTCTGTCACCTCCTTTTCCATGTTGCTATCTCAGAACGACTTCTTGTTTTGCTTTAGAACAGTTCATAGTAATTCCAGTAGCTAACAAGACCATTGGTAAACAAACAGGGTGAACAAGATGTTTTCATGACATCCTTAATCTGCAACGTGGCATCAGATTGTGAGAAGCTTCTGGTTTGCAAGATGGAATCAGACTGTATGAAGACACTTTGCTTTGACACAGAGGTAATTTGCATCAGTTTTGCCTCACGCTTGTGCTTTTAGCTTCCAACTGCATCTTCCTTCCACACATAGTTGAGGGAACATTGCACAAATGTTTATGCCTTTAAGCTGAACTCTTTGGAGATGGCAGGTAAACAATAACAGTCTTGTAAGACACCAAAAAGCTCCTAACTTCCAAGTGGATACTTGCGCAAGTGATATGTCAACATCGTACTTAGGGGGAAAGTCCCCGTTTCCGCTCCTGGACCAATTCATAGAATCCATTGCTTCCACTGGGAATGTCTCAGGTTGCATTTCTATCTCTTGTGCAAAGTTTTGTGTTCTGGAGAGATTCAATGCTCATCTTAAAAAATATTCTGTGATATTTAGGTAAGATAAGGTGCTGGTACTGGTTTTCAGAAGATAGCCTGATTGTGTACAGCATGTCAAGAAATAGATACTGCGAACGAATTGGCAGGGAACACAAAAGCAATCATGGTACCATCTGCTTTCAATCCATTTACACTAACGAGTTTCGAGCATTTTCTCAGCTATCAAAAAACATATTAACATTGCTTGAAACAAATTTTATTGTTACAGTGATGTACATTGTTGATCTCAGAAGAGGAATCTATTATCAGAAATGCTACGATCCAGATTGTCGAGGTGTGTTCTCAATTTTTTTCTTGGCAGAATCTTGTTTTATACCACTTAGCTTGTGTTTTGTCTGCAGATTATCGTTCTCCGATACGTCCAGTTCCTGATAGTTGCTTACCTGAAGATACGGTTTACCATCAAGGAGAGGCACAGAATTTCTGTGATAACCTTTATCCCAAAGAAGAAAGTAACATTGATAACGAATGTGAACCAGACAGTAATTCAAGCGGAGGCTCATGGTGGCTCGAAGTAATTAAAGTCGCAGATGATCTTGAAAGCAAACCCAAGACACTGGAACCTCATACCTTGGTTAGTTTACTTCACCATTTTCATACAACGAAAGAATCTAAACAGCTTTAAAATTGATGTTGGTGTCATGTTCTTGACTTCAGATCGGTTTAATTTCTCAGAGATTATTAAGAGGAATAATCTTTTTGTTGGCACACAGGAGAATCACGAGGAAGATGACGATGACTGGTGGTGGTTAGCTGCAGAAGAGTCCCTTAAAGAAATATCTTCTTTAAATTCTTCCCCAAAATGCCCTTTGATTTAGACATTTGTGACTCACTAACCAAAGTCAAGACCAATCTGGGTTCTTCTTCTTCCTTTTTTCTCTCCTTAAAACTACCATCGTCTCCTCCCAAACCTTGAATCACCAGCAGATCTCTCAAAAAAAATCAATGGCTCAATTCCCAGTTTTCATACCAGCCAAGTCGTTTCCTTCGATCCTCTCACATGAAACCTTGATCAATCACTTTCAGACCAATCTCCCCACACATTCCTCAACAATCACAAGCCCTGTCCGCCAAAACTACACCGTTTCACCACCTTCCTCTCTCCTCCTCATGCCTTCTTGGTCATCTTCTTCTTCTCTCCCTTACATGGGTGTCAAGCTTGTGACCTATTTCCCTCATAACTCCTCTCAGAACTTACCTGGCATCCATGGATCCTACACACTCTTCAGCTCCACCACAGGCCAAACCCTAGCTTCAATGGACGGTACCGTTTTAACGCTTTACCGTACTTCCTCTGTTTCAGGTTTAGCCTCCAAACTCCTAGCTAGAGACGATAGTCAGGTGCTGATCATGATTGGTTCCGGTGCTCTCGCACCACACCTGATCAAATCCCATCTAGCTGCAAAACCATGCTTGAGAAGAGTGATCATATGGAACAGAACTGTTCAAAAGGCTCAAGATTTAGCTGAAACTCTCTCTGAGGATTCCCAACACAGCGAAATCTCTTTCGAGAGCCACGATTCGCTAGACGAAATCATTCCTCTGGGAGATATCATAAGCTGTGCAACAAACTCGACTGTTCCATTGGTCAAAGGTGAGTTTTTGAAACCGGGAACTCATCTTGACCTTGTTGGATCGTTTAGCCATGAAATGAGGGAGTGTGACGACAATGCGATACAGAGAGGGAGTGTGTTTGTAGATAACGAGACTGCGTTGGAAGAAGCGGGAGAGCTCGTGGGAGCGTTTGAGCGAGGAGTGATTAAGAGAGAAGACATTTGTGGGAATTTGGTTGAGTTGATAAAAGGAGACAAAGAAGGGAGAAAGAGTTCAACAGAAATAACGGTTTTTAAGTCTGTTGGTTCGGGTACCGTAGATCTCTTAACTGCACAACTCGTTCTCGAGACTTATCTTAGCCGTTAAGTACTGAATCATATTCAAAAGTTGTGTTTTGCGTATTCTAAAACGAAATAACAAGACATTGCTATGATTGTGTCAATGATACACTGGCATTAGCCATTTGTTTTGTTGTCAAACTTTGGATTTATTGAATTTTGGTTGCTCGTGAAGCAAGAGGACTTGTTAGTTGTTGCTATACGAATTCAGCTCAGGTCTTGTCCCTAGCGGCAATTTCGGGCGGTTGAGGTCGAGCTATCTCTGTTTTTTCTCAGGTGGTTTAACCGGAACAATCTTTGTGTTACATATCGTATGATAACTTCTTACAAATCGTGAAATGGTCACAAACACTCCCAAGTTATCTTCTTCTTCATGGCTCAAGGAAAGCGTTGACAAGCATGAGAAGTATTGATATTTCGAAAGATACACCAAAAACTGAAGAAATAAGACAGGTAGTTGGATCCTTGTATTATCGAACCTGAATGGCAAAAGAGTTCGTGCATCTCCAAATGCAGAAAAACTAGACATTTCCTTCTTAACAAAATTTATACAAATCAGAGCCAAAAAATAAGGTAAATGATTATGAAAAAAGATGACCGCCGTCTAAGGGGATCGAAC